ACGACGAAGAACGCGATCGAGGTCTATTCGTCACAAGACTCCGTGAGTGTCACTCGGTGGATTATTGCAAGAAGTATATATGCGTATAGCTGCAAAAATTTGCCTCACATATATCAAGAAATATTACCAAAGTGCTAATACTTTTCATCGAAGAATAAATGCAAATATTTCGTATGTTCACTGTATTTGTCGTGTCAGTTTTGTAGATACGAGCGATGATTAGCGTGTTGTGCGTTATCCCGAACGAAGATTACCCCTCATTCAGAAACAGAAAATGAACACCAAGTGTTATTGATCACAGACCATTTACGAATCAAACGACTCATTCAGAATTACTTCACAGAGAGCAAAAGCAAGAGTGGAGGATCGAACGATCGAAGCGCGAGGTCTCTTTAACCGCGTTCCGATAGAGCAGACAGATTTTTATGATTGGCTTGCCCTCGAGTCGATTTCTATGTAACGTAGAAACAAGCGGAGAGCTCCAAAAAAGCATGTCGAATCGACGAAGAGAAGAGAGAGAGAGAGAAAAAGAGACGATCGGCTGACGGAGAGACGGAGATCTTTGCCTTGCCTGGGGCATGAATCAAGGCCCTTCTTTGCTCTCGAAGGCCCCATATGACTCAACCTTATTATTATTGTTAGTTTTACACCGACACCGACCGCTGTTTCTCGTGTGTTCACCAACACTCTCGCGTCTCTTCTCGTGCGTGCTGCTCGATTCCTCCAGTGTATCGATGCGCGCCTGTACACCGTGTATGTAGAGAATGCGTGCGGTCGATGTATTATTAGTGTGTACGAGCCTCGACTAGGAAGTGCTAACAGAGTAGTATTCGCGGCAAACTCAACATTCCCACCTCGTCAGGGACGTTTAAGAGGTTATTTTCAACACTTCGCCCCGCGGATCGGACACGTGTGCTGCGCTTCTTGCTCGCGTACGGATGGCCACGAACCCACGCGGGCTCCGATGTAGCGCGGGAAACGCACGTACGTTCGAATATATATATATATATCGATTCGAATCAATCGAGCGAGCACTCGTTGACTTTGGCTTAGATTTCCACCAGAGTGCAACGAGAGTGGAGGTTGCTGCAATATTTTCGCCTCGAAATGCTCGATCGACTCTCGTTCGAAGAAATTTTACGCGTTGAACGATCAATATCGATTTATATCTCGTGTTAAAGTAAAGTTCGTGGATCGTTCTGATTGAGTAGATTAGTTGCAACGTGGAAAATAAATCAGATTTGTACACTCGTTAAGTCATTTTTAACACTTTTAAATTATTGCAGATGAATCTGTCTGAGTTTGAATTACCATTAGAATGGTCAAAATCACACAAGTTCGTAATTTTATTGTCAGATGAATGTGAAACAATGCATTTTTTAAAGATGCAATTTTTTTCGTAAAAAGTATTACAGAGTGCACTGTATTATGAAGTCTTTTTCATCTTTTTTTTTTTTTACTGTAATGTCCCTGATGGAAAGTTTACGTTTCGATCATCGGTAGTTTTAGTATTAATTTAACTTCAACATGCACAGTTAATAGATATTGATAATTGAATGATGGAAGATTCTGCTTCTGTTCATCGTTGAAAATTAAAAAGCGATTGTTTCTAAGGGCATTGAAAAGGCTTATACAGATATTATGAGGCATCAGCTTAATTTAATAATAAATATGGAATTTGTAACTGTCGAAACGCGACAAAAGTCGAGCTTTTAATGGAACTGCAGCAAGTGCGTATAAATATATGACGATACGATTTATCGTGCAATGATCGACTCGAAAGATCGACAGATTGAGAGGCTATTGCGCAGTAAGTTTTGCTAATTAATTTAGCGAACCAACATCCAACGATGTGATCAAAGATCTGATCTAAATTGAAGAGAGTACGTAAACAATGCGATTTACAAAAACGTGCGAACAGCAATGTGTAAAACGGAGCGAATTTTGAATTTACGAATTCGTCTCGATGCGGTCATCTTCGATGAAGTATAGATTTCGTCGCGTGGTATAAAAGTCGACGGCGGTTCGTTCAAGAATGAATCTCGCTATTGGCTACCATAGTACACGGTAATCTTTTACTCCCTTCGCTCATTATCGTTGAAATTCGAGGACAGATTGTGTTCTGGAATTTTCCGCGAGGTCTCTCGTTTCGTTTAGATTTTGCCACGCGACCTCGCTTTGTTTATAGACTTTCAAATCGTTTTGCAATATCGTCGAAAACGTTCGAGTATCGACATCGTTGTTTTTTCAGTAAATATTTTGGAAACCGGTGATCGTCGACGCAAGCCGACCGCGTTGCGAAATCCCTCTGTGGCCCGCTCGATCGAAATAAAATTAATATATATATATATACATACATACGTATATTTAAATAATATATATATACAATAATATTTAAATAATACATACATACGTATATTTAATTAATATATATATATATATACATACGTATGTATGTATGTACCGCGACGATTCTGCGCGCTCGATACTCGGAACGAAACGCGTACGCGTGAAATTCGTTCAATCGACGCGGGACAAATTGCCAATTTTGTGGCCAATTTCGAATGTTTCGCGCTAAATAAATCAAATCAATACCCAATTGACATTGGTGGCAATTCGAGCGCAGAGAGAATTCGTAATCGAATTCATCGATTACGCGAAAGCATCTGGATGAAATAATGCAAACGAATGGTTGCTGTCGCGGGTTGACCAGTTGCTTCGCAGACCGATGGTACACGGTATAAAATCCGATACGTGTACGGTATCGATGCCTGTCTGTCTTTCTTCGAGTCTTCTATTACGTTTGCACATTCATAAAACCGTCGGCCGTCGTGGACCGGCCTCGAGAGTTTCTACAATCGTCATTACGCCTCCAAGGCGGTCGCTTGTCGGCCCTGGACCGTCGTATACTTCTATAGGCTATCGTCTAGCGTGAACAAGCGAGACAGATTGATAGAGACGAGAGATAAACTATTCTCTCTGGCGAGCGGTGTAGTGTGTGTGTGCGCGCACACACATGCGAAACTGTAGCCAAGTACATCCAATTATCGCTCGTAGACAATGAGTTCCAAGGTTTCGCGTCCACGAATCTCGATGACCGTCGCGTCCGTGCATTTTTCCTGCCGCTGTATCTCGCCGGGGGAATAACGTGCCCGATGCAACCTCCGACGAAAAATTCAAGCGTTGACGAAACGTTATCGTAATCTGGTAGTATCTTTAAATAACACGAGCCTCAAGTAGATAGCCAGCGAGAATGGAAACGTATTGCGTATCGAAGTGCGATTACAAACTGGAAGACCGGAATTGTCTAGAAGTTTAGGGATATTTAAATTAACTGGCAAATCTCTCGTAGAGTCGAGAACTCTTCGTTGTTGATGATTTAGACGGATGATTCAAGCGTGCATCGTAATCCGCTCGCAAGATACGAAAATCTCGATAACTCAGCAGCCAGTCATGAACGGGGTGATACACGGAGTCTGCGTTATCTTGCTACAATTATCGATCGTACCAACGATTTCGTAAACACGGCGCGCTAGGCGGTGGTTGTAGCGCGCCTAGTGCGTTCGACGATGCCAAGATTCCCGCGCTTCTCCAGCGAGCCCTGGCTAAGGTTATGGCTTGCTCTAGGAGTGCATTAACCCCCGTCGGCTCCAGAGCACATCGTAGAAGAAGTGCACAAGTGGCGTGAAGGGGAACGGTAGAGAGAACTGACTCTGCTCTCT